TAAAGTTTTTATTTTTTTATTGATCCCTTTTTTATTTTTTTTTTGATCCGGCAGCCGGATAAAAAGTCCACGATCTAAATAATTCAAATAGTTGAAATCGAGGGCCATTCACTTGCTTCAACTAATTAATTCAAATATTTGATGGCCTCAAAAATTGAAACGATTGAAATCAACATCGCAGGTTTCATGTATTTCAGTTCTGGAGCCAAGCGTCAAACATACCCTAAAGGAGCCTCTTATATATATATATATACGGACATACATACATATTCTCTCTCTCTCTCTCTCTCGCTCTCTGTCGCTCACCTTGTATGCGCGGACAAACATATATATATATATATATGTATGCGCATATATATATATATATACACACATATTTATATGTATATATGCATACATACTGTCTCTCCCTCTCGTAAGGCACATGAACGTGGTGTGCGTTTGGAGCTTCCTCCGAAGCACTGTGGGCTCGATGTGTCAAATCAGGATTCTCACACAGACACTGCCACAGACCCAAACTGCAAGAACTCTCAACGTGGTGGTGAGCCGTTAGTGTCCTAAGTCTGTTCATCTTGCGATCACAGTTTGCACTTGCAACGTAGCTAGTTCACACAAGGCAAGTGGTGAAGTCTTGGATTTATCACCTGCGCATCTGGGATCGATAAGAGGAGGATTAGGGACCGGCGGTGTCGAGATGCGTGTAGTTTTCATGTCTTTAGTCAGCTTCAATATTTCCGGAGGGCAACCCAGGCCCAGGCACCGGGCAAGGGGATGGCAACTACGTCACATTCGTCGCTGTGCGGGATTTGGGATCTTGGGTCTGGAGTTCGAAGCACGTGGGCCGCTGTCGTTTTGGAAGCGAGTTGATATTCGTCGGAACATACGGGCATCAACGAGAATGATGATCAGAACCTTACCAGAAATAAAATATGAATAAGCAGTACCAGTATCATGAAAGAGGTATATTGAACAGTCATCGAAAGTGGCCAGTTTCCAAAAGTCATGAGTTCTGAGAGCGTGTTATGACAAGAACGGCTGTCATGACAATGTTTTCGCAATGGCAACAATGCCAGGAACGACGATTACCAGAACGGTGCGAGAAGATCATATAAGACTCTGAGCTTGCAGCTTTCACAAAATCTCTTGAAGCTTTCTTGTGCCAGGAACCCATACGACGCGGAGACGTCTGGAAACCTTCTCTGTAGCACAGGCCTGTGAGATGGGGCGATGTGATAAGACAGGGAGGAGCTTGAAGTGTGCATTGAGATAGGCAGCCCAATCATAAGAGGACGAGCTTGTCGATATCCTTCAAGAAACTTGTCTTGGGAGCCCTGGCGGACGAGAACGATGATGCCGATGGGGATGACTAGGACTATGACGATGGATTTTGGTGACGGTGACGGTGGTGCTGAGGTTGCGCTCATAGCGCGCGAAGAGTAGTGATGGTCATGGCTATGATGTCGGCATTCTGCAAGTACGAGAAGGTGGCGCAGGATGATGGTAATGATGGGGTTGATGATGTTTATGATCATGGTGTTGGTGGTGATGATGACGGTCATGATGATGATGATGATGATGATGATGATGATGACGGCGATGATGATGGCGATGGCGATGGCGATGGCGATGGCGGCGATGGCGGCGATGGTTGACGATGATGATGATGATGATGATGATAATGAGGACGATCTCGATGACGATGACGATGACGATGATGATGATGATGATGATGCAGATGGCAACCATTTCCACCGCGGGCAGCTGCAATGAAGACCAGCAGTAGGAAGATCACGACCACAGTGAGAACGAGGCGGACGAGCATGACGAGGTTGGTGAACAGCATGTGAAGGTGATGGTTATGATGATGGTGCTGCTGTGTGCTGATACTGATTATGATGATACTCATGAAGATGTTGATGGTGTTTGACGGCAATGCTGCTGCTCATGATGCTGCCGATGATGATGATGATGATGATGATGATGATGATGATGATGACCACCATGACATGACGAGAAGTGCCCAGCATGACTGCAGAAGAAGAACATCTGTATAGCAACTTGCAACACCCTCACAAGACGAAGCGAAGCCCGACAGATTCCAAGACATGTGCGAAGTTGAATGCTGGCAAACTTCCTTCTCTGGCTTCGAGGTGTTGGCAAGTACCCACGATGGGGCTTACTGGCTCCTGTCGGATGCCTGGTGTTCTCTGTGCGTGTGCATGCGATTTCAGGATCCTGAATCAATCCGAGTTGATTGGAAATCCCAAACATTCAGCTCGTTCTCTTTCGCAGAATCAGGGTCTCAGCTTCGAACTTGCCGTGCCCGTCTTTCGGGGCGCCCGGGGGAGCTTTCGTCTTTCAAGCTCGGTTTAGAAGTCGTGTTTTGGTAGCGCATGTAGCTCTGGTTTAGAGGCATTCAGGGTCCACCCCAGTTCAATTCGATGTCCTAGCTTCATCACCGAACTCTGGAGCCATGAACAAAGAAAACGTTATAAGCGTTGACAGCCGGAATCTGCAGAGACACCACACTCTGCCGAGTCACGCTTCAACACAGCCAGAGACTCTGAGTAGCCTTGGTAGATAGGAGGGCAGATGCCGACCAGTGCATCTGGGCACCGGCGCAAGCACGCATGCCGGCCCATAGGGTCTGAGTTTTGTTCACGATATTGCCGGCGATCGCAGCGAAAGGTAAGCACAGCTCAGCCTGCTCCTGACAATGTTTTCTTAATCTCCTTCGATCAATGAGCCTACCCCAACTCATCGCACAGTGGTTGTGCATCCTTAGGCCGGAAACTCCTGTAGCGAAATAGCGTTACGGAATTACGTCCCCAGCCCTGCTCTCTTAAACCACGAAGCCTGTACACTTCAACTCGGAAGCTCTGAGGTGTGGATACAAGTAGGCCCCGTTTCTGAGAAGTCCGAAGATGGAGGCCAGCGTGGATGGTTCACCGTACTTGATCCGACCTGAGGGCTTTGGAGGGAGAGCGCGTGGTGAGGGCTTGCTCATGAGGCAGAAGGTTCTCCAGGTTGAGTTCTCTGGAATTTGGGATACCAAATTCTCAACACCAAACTCTAAAGCCTAAGTGACGCCCGATGGACCTAGTCAGAGACGCCTATCGAACGGTGACGTGATGCCCTGATGCCCCAGGATTGGATCACAGCGAACGCCAATGACGAGATTTCTTAAGAGGAATGCCGCATCACTTCACGTGGTTTCAAAGAAGAGCCGACTACTCGAGTAGACAAGATCAGTAGTTCTGAACTGAAACGCAGGTCGCCTAATCTGAAAACGTCAGAAATCGTTATGCAAAACCTTCCGAAAGCCCTAAATCATGAAAGCCACCTCGAAGCCCACGACATCGAACCAGGCCCTAAGCTCTGTACTTTGGACCTGTTCCTAGAAAGCCTTGTCGAGGCCTGCAGCCCGTTCTTCGCATGAACCTTTTAATGAGTTGGACAACTCTCTTTTGACAGCAGCCCAAGCCCCAGGAATTCCCAGTTCCATTGGATCCTCGCCACCGATCACTCCGACTCTCCGCAACTCTCAGGCTGGAGAGTTTGGAAGTCAGGGATTCGAGGGTCTGGTTAAGTTTAGGGCTGGGGACTCGGGAGAATTGTTCGCGGCAACGAAGCACTGGAGGACCGCATTGCCAACTAGGGCAACTAGGGTGTGGACTGTCTCAGATATTGCAGCCTTCTCGAGGGGTTGTGGAGGGGATATATTGGACCGATCTGCAAACAGCTGTGAAGGGGTGAGTTTGACCGGGATTCCAGGCCTGTGTGTGCGTGCGAGAGAAGGGGGAGACAGACAGACACAGACAGACAGACAGACAGACAGACAGACAGACAGACAGACAGACAGACAGACAGACAGACAGACAGGGAGGCAGGCAGGCAGGCAGGCAGGCAGGCAGGCAGGCAGGCAGGCAGGCAGACAAACAGACAGCGAGACTGAGCGAGCTTTGAGGGGTGTGAGATTTCAAGAAT